CTGCTGTAGCCATAGCCGGAGACCCTCACTAACTTGGGCCACCTAGTGGTCTGTGGGGACTGTGCTGCAGTACTCGGCAGCTCTGCTCCACACAAACACTCAGGGACCCAGCGTCCTTGCACCTTGTGGCTCTGCCATCCTGAGTCCTTGAGGCTGTTTCCATGGCCAAAACTGGGTTACCATAAATCTACATTTCAGATGGCAGAGTGGGGGAAGAGAGCGTGGAGGGGCACTCCTTCTTGGACTTTGCACACATCCTTTCTACTCTGTTCTGCTGGAGAAAACTTAGTGACAAGGCCACACCTTACTAGGAGCTTGAGAAAAGCAGCTCTTACCTGGGTGACCATCCACCAAGTCATGACTCTGTTACGGTGGAAGAAGAAAATAATGGATTTGGATGCATAGGTAGCAGCCTCCCTACATTCCATTCTTTTAAATCATTCAGATACATTGTGAGTTGTGAATTCAAAGCCTGTTGTCAGCTGGCTTCATGGATATGTGGCCTGCACAGGATTCTACACTCACAGGGCTCTGCATTTGATTTAATGCTCTGTTACTGCCCTCTTGAAGGTCTAATTTTTTTAACAAGGTGATCACATTTTCATTTTGCACTGAGCCCTCCAAATTATGTGGCTTGTTCTGTCTGCTCTTTCCCAAATTAACATTTTTATTCTACCCAATTTAATATTTAATGAAAATACATTTTGTAGCAAGATACCATGAAAGATCATGTGAGGGATGCAAAGATGAGTGAAATTCAACATCAGAGATCTTGCAATCCAGTAGGGGGATGGGAAGTGCAGTAAGCTGTCCTTCAGAAGAGTTGTGCACATATGACTATGAATATTCACAGGAATGAAGGCAGCTTCTGCTTGATGGTGGTGTTGGCAGGGGTTGTGGCTGGTGGTGTAAGATATTTGCTCTGGGAAGAATATTTTGTTTTTATTTATATTTATTTAGTATATTTAAAAATATTTGTAGAGATGGAGTCTTGCCATGTTGCCCAGGCTGGTCTCAAACTCCTGGGCTCAGGGAATCCTCTCAAAGTGCTGGGATTACAAGCATGAGCCACAGTGCACAGCAGGGAAGGGATATAATACTTTTAAAGGAACCATTTCAAGTATATAAAAATATAAAGAATAATCTTAAAAATGTCTATGTGCCTACAACTTTGTTTTGTCAATTCTTAACATATTGCCATGTTTGAATCACATATTTTTAAGAAATTTACGTATTACAGATATAGTAGAGCCTGTTTTGTAGTTTTCTCTGATCTCATCTCTTTCTTTTCCCACCTAGGAATAGATAATCACTTCCTGAATTTGGTGTTTATAATTCTCATGCATAATATGTTTTTTTTAACTACATATGTATTTATATTTAGTATTTTACATGTTTTAAGCTTTATAAAAATTGCACCATACTTCACTTATTAATTCAGCAAATATTTTAAAAAATAATTTCAACTTTTATTTTACATTTAAAGAGTATATATGCAGGTTTATTATTTGAGTATATTGTGTGATGCTGAGGCTTAGTGTCTGACTGATCACATCACCCAGGTGGTGAGCATACTGCCCAATAGTTTTTCCAACCCTTTCTCTCTTCCCTTCTTGCCCTTCTAGGAGTCCCCAGTGCCTACTATTATTATCACCACCTTTTTGTCCGTGAGTACTCAATGTTTAGCTCCCATTTATAAGTAAGAACATGTGATATTTGGTTTTCTGTTTCTGTATTAATTTGCTTAAGATAAGGTTTCCAGCTACATCCATGTTGCTGCAAAGGACATGATTTTGTTCTTTTTTATGGCTTCATAGTATTCCATGGCATATATGTACCACATTTTCTTTATCCAGTCTATTGTTGATGGGCATCTAGGTTGATTCCATGTCTTTGCTATTGTAAATAGTGCTGCAGTGAACATACGTGTACATGTGTCTTTTTGGTATAATGACTTATTTTCTTTTGAGAAATAAATCATTCTGGATGATTTATTGAGATTGCTGGGTCAAATGGGAGTTCTGTTTTAAGTTCTTTGAGAAATCAACAGTTGCTGAACTAACTTACATACACACCAACAGTATATAAGCATTCTCTTTTTTCCAGTCTTGCCAGCATCTACTGTTTTTTGCTTTGTAATGATAGCCATTCTGACTTGTGCAAGATGGCATCTTCTTGTGATTTTGATTTGCATTTCTCTGATGATTAGTGATGTTGAACACTCTTTCTTGTGTTTGTTGGCTGCTTGTATGTCTTCTTTTGAGAAGTGTCTGCTCACGTCTTTTGCTCACTTTTTAATGGGATTGTTTATTGCTTGTTGAATTAAGTTTCTTATAAGTTATGTGTATCAGACTTTTGTCAGATGCATAATTTGCATAGTTTGTGAATTTTTCTCCCATTCTTAGGTTGTCTGTTTACTGTGTTGGCAGTTTCTTTTGCTGTGTAGAAGTTCTTTTAGTTAGATCTCACTTGCCAATTTTTGTTTTGTTGCAATTGCTTTTGAAAACTTAGTCATAAATTATTTTGCAAGGCCAAAGTCCAGAATGGTGTTTCCCAGGTAGCAAATACTTTATTGAGTAACAACTATAGCCAAGTATTGTTTTAGGCATTGGAGATACAGCCATTAAAAAAAAAAACCCCACAAAAATTTCTTCTTCATCTTCCAGAGGAGCAGAGAGACAATAAACCAGATAAATAAGTAAAAACGTGGTATGTGACAGACTGACAACTACTAACAATGTAAGAAAAAGCAAAGAAGGGGATATGCCATGAGGATGGCAGTAGAGGAAATCAAAATTTTCGATACAGTAGCCATAGAAGACCTTGCCGCACCTATTCTGCCATTATGCATTTTTACTAACATTATGTTTGAGACTTAACCTATTTCTAGTTCATTTTCATTACTACATAACATCCATTGCATGAACAGGTCATACTTTATTTACTCATTTTCTATTGGTTAGTATTCAGATTATTTTTAATATTTTGCTTTTATAAACAAGGCTGCAAGGAACACCGCTGAACATATCCCCATGTGCATATGTGCAGTTTCTCTTAGAGTACAGCTAGGAGACAGGTAATTGACCTGCTGGACATGCCAAATGCTGTCCAAACTAGTCCTATCCATGGACACTCTGCAGAAAAGGGTTATCCTAGCAGACCTGAAGCTGCTGTTTTTAGAAGGGCCTGCCTATTTTCTGTCTACACATATGTAGATACATACATACATATTCTCTAATTGTCCACTAAGAGTGCCTAGATGTTGACTTCTGAATAGTATATTCCCTAAAAAGAACCAGTGCCTTTGGAGAAATGGGTGAGTCCAGATTGGGAAATGGAAGATGAACCTGGCCAGAAAGCAGGTAAATGCTCAAAGAATGATGTGAAACACATCAAAAGGATACAACAGTCGTCTTGATGTATTTCTATTAGCTAAATAAGGAACAAATTGGACATTAAGCTAAACAGTAAAGAATTAAGCCCACTGAATAAAACAGGAAACCATGAATTCATAAATAAATAAATAAAATACTTGCTAATTACAAAGGGAAAGAGAATCATCTTATGGTAGAGAAGCCTGCAGACACCTCCATAATCAAATGATCAAAGTGAACATCATTAGTAATGGGTCAAATTGAAATTGCATGTCATCTAATAGGATGCAATGGAAAGAATACAGCATTGCTTCTGAGATATTCCTGCCAAAGATACATAGCATAAATCTCATTACAAGGAAACATCAGACAGGCCCACATCAAAGAACACTGCAAAATAACTGACCTGTCATTGTTAAAAGACTGAGGAGCTGTTCCAGACTAAAGGAAATCAAAAAGACATGCCAACTCAATGCAACATGTGATTCTGGACTGGATCCTTTTGCTCTAAAGAAGGACATTATTGGGGTAATTGTTGAGACTTGAATGGGGTCTGAGGATTAGATGGTAGTGATGTTAATTTACTGCTTTCGGTGGTTGCATTGTGATCATGTAGGAGAAGGTACTTGTTTGTAGGAAATATACAAACTATGAGGCTTCAGGTTGGTAGCTTTTTGTCAAATGAAGATAAAATTCTATTACACTTACAGCTTTCCTGTAAATTTGTTATTGTTTCACAATTTAAAAATTATTACATAAAAATGACTTCTTATTTTTTAAAAAGAATACTTTAATTCACTTGGAATTTATCTTTGTATATGTTGTGAGATAGAACTAACTCAATTTTTTTAGTATTTTCATGTAAATAACTAGTTGTTAACACTGAATACAAATTTGAAAAGTGATATTCTAGGCACAGGGGAGAGAATAATTAAAAACTGGGGCAGGAAAATGAGGGTTGAATTTAGGGGTTTTGTTTGGCTAGACTGTAGCGCATATGTGGACTGGCAAGAGGTTAGCTGGAAGGGTAAGTTGGGGCCAAATCATAAAAGGCCTTTAATGTCAAAGTGAGGACTTTGCACTTAACTCTGCAGTTTAAACTTAAGTGAATGACCCTTTTGGGAAGTCTTCCCTGTTCCCTCCCACTTCCTGCTAGTTGAATGTGCTTCTTTTGGGCTCCTATAATTCATTCATTTATATTTTCTCAATCTCTCTCTCCTCCTTTTTCTTTCTCCTTCTTCCATCCACTCTCCCTCCCTTTTCCTACTGCATTGACCTCAACTGTTTCTGGGACAGCTTCCCAACCAGAGTGGTGCTGGGGCCTCTTATTGTATCTGGCAGTTAGCACAGTGCCTGGCTAATAGTAAGTGTTCCATCGTGGTTACCAAACAGATATCAGGAGATAAATTTTAAGAAGCAGAGTAGTATTAGAGGATGTGGGAGAGGCCAGGCCAGGCTTGGAGCTGAAACATCACCTGGCAGGAAGTAATAAAGGCCTCGATCAGAAAAAGAACAGTGATAAAAGAAAAGCAAAAGGGGTATTTGGGAATGGCCTTGTGGTGTTGGAAGCTGTATTTTGGCAAATGGTAGAATGCAGCGGGGTGAAGGAG